GTTTTCTACCTAGCTATGCCTTCGACACGGACATGCATAGGCTACCTGGATGCGATCATGTACAAAACAGATCGGTATCTTCATTTAAATTCCCTAAAAACGATCACATCAAGAAGAGGTTTTTAGAGAGCCAACCTTGATGAAGAGCTGAGGATCACAGCCAACACCCGCCTCTGTAGTGATCATTTTACACTGGATAGTTTTATAAACTTTCCTCAGAGACAACTGGGATTCACTGATAATCCACTGTTACTGGTGAACTGAAAAACAGCAAGTGTATATTCAAAGGTTGATTCAAACGTTACGAGCAGATCTAATTTACAGCAACAGACCATTTTCTTTACCCGTAGTTGGCGTTGCTCCTAATTTGCACTGAAAAGGCAAAAATCTCAAAACTTGGTCAAAATGACAATGATCAAGTTTCTCTAAAAATATTTAGATATTATATAGCCGCATTTGACATTATTGCTGTCAAATTTGCGTTCATGAGCATGTAATACTGTATAGAGGACCTTAGTGCCTTGAAGCAGTGGTTTACAACTCTGGTCCTGCAGTACAACTAACACTCCACATTTTTTATGTCTCTCTTTAGACTTACCCAACTGAGGTCTTGGAGTCAAGGTGGTAATTCATCAGTCGGAAGTTGAAGCCTCGTGGGAGCTGCCATTGTAGCAGAACTTCACCTGCTGTTAGCATCCCATTGACTCCCATTCATTTTGGCGTCACTTTGACAGCGAATAACTTTACATCTGAGGCATCCAAAGACTTCATTTGACTATTATTTATTTCTAAAGAAACATGATAATGTATAAAACGCTCCATTACTTTCTTTCTTACTTTATGGCCCCGTAGATGCCGTTTTTGTGAAAAATAGGCTAACGTTTGCGTCATCACTACGCAACTTTCTGTCTCACAATAGAGACATTACCGTATAGACAGGAGGATAAGCTCGCAGGCAATCTTTTACTGTCTATGAGGCAATCGGGGGGACATGGAGACATAAAGTCGAGGGAGAAGCCCATAGATATTCTCTTCTTTAAGCTCCTCCATTGGGTATGAGTTTACATCCCATCCCTGTGCGTTGAGCCGACCAGATGAACCAGTTCTTTCCAGTGCCGCGATCTTGTGCCAGCTGCTCTGCATCCTCCATAGCGACTCCGTGTTGTTGGAGGTCACCCGCAAGGACGTCAAGCCATCGGGTGCGGGGCTTACCTCGTGGTCGTCTCCAGCCTGCAGCTCTCAGATCAAACTGGAGAATGGCTCTTGTCGGATGGGCAAGAGGGAGACGGAGGACGTGGCCAAGCCAGCGGGTGCGGCGTTGCGCACCCAGACAAGATGCTCTGGGCTGGCACGTGCAGGCTCTAAGCACTTGATTGGAAACCCGCTGGGGCCACCTGATGTTATCTATGGTCCTGAGGGCCCTGCTATTAAAGCCATCAAGTCTTGCGGTCAGTGTCTTATTTAAGGGCCAGGTCTCAGAGCCATAGAGCAGGATGGAGAGTACTGACAAGTTATAAATCCGGAGCTTCGTCCTGCGGGAGATGGTTTGGTGCCGCCAGAGTGGTTTCCAGAGAGACTGCAGGGCTGACGCAGCCAGGGCTCTTCTGTGGGTAATCTCTGGTTTTAGGTCCCCGTTGTTTGTCACTAGGGATCCCAGATATACAAAATTGCTGACAGGTTCTACAATCCGCTCTGCGGTCTGGCCTTGGCGTGGCGAGGGGGCTTGTGTGTTCCAGTGACCCTGGAAAGCGATACCGTCGGGAGCTTGCTCCTGGTAGGGTCACCCTAGGCGGGACGACCTCCAGGGTAGGTTCCAGAAAAACAAAGACCCCAGCATGTCGGTATGCTGTGAGGTGGCAGCCCCACCAACCGACTATCCTGCGGAGGGCTAACAACCCACCCATGAGAAATTCTTTTGTTACGAAACCGAACCATAGATAGAGAGTCCATAAAAGCAACGGGACAAAATATTACAACAACGTTTTGGCTTGGCACAGTTACTAATAAGATTTACAGCTGTCAGACTGTCCCCACGCTTAGTTTGAGCCTGCGTAGTCGCTCAGACATCAGGCAGGAATTGCAAAAATCAGGCTTCAGTCTTGTCCGTTGAAATCAGTGGGGTTGCTCTGTCCATTTCTTTTACATGGAGTCTTTACTACTGAGCTGATAAGTTGAATCAGGTGTGTTTGATCGGTCTTTGTCAGACACGTGGGTTTGTTGTGTGTGACGTCAACGCGGCGCCATTTTTGAGGTATCGCTACTGACTGTGAGGATTGAAGAGATTACGAGAGTAGAGATAACAAGTAAATAACTCGCAAAACTGCAGGAGCACAAGAAAACTGAGAAAATGCCATAATGCAATAAACTCGATAAATATGCCACGTACCGTTTTTTGGAAAAATTGTCATCCACTCAGAACATAGATCCATATATGAGCTCAGCTGACTGCAGTAAGCTGGAGTGCTGATCCCGCATTGCTTTCTCATCCTCATATTTGAGCATTGTCAACTATCTTGTTTATGGTATAAGCGCATATAACATTACCAGTGAATAATTTAAAAAAATATACATCTCTTAAAGCCCGCAGACATTTCACCAAGTTACTGTATCCTTCGGTAGGAATGTAAATAAATCCTGTCAAGTTAGTAACAGCAAAGATAGGTTTGCTGTATTGATGATGATGATAGTGTCATGTTAAGGATGGTTTATTTTGGAAAAAAAGAATGAAAAAAACTATTCTCCAACAACAGAATACCTCAGCATCGATACCTTACAAATGGCGGCTACACCCATAATAATGCACTTCGTGAATTGCGAGTGTGACGTCACCTGACAAAGACCGATTAGGGATACTAAACTGTGCAGTGCTGGGTGTACTCCAGGACCAGGGTCCAGAACCACTGCCTTATGCCTAGAAGGGTCCCAAATTTGCAATCTTAGTCTCTCCTCAAGGCTTGTGCCTGATCTCACAGAAGGTGTTATACGGTTCTAGGGGCTATTTTAAGTCTCCCTTATTAAAGAACAATAATACAGACTCCTACAGATATAATGAATACCAAAGCACTTTCTATGCTTGGCCCCTAATATCTCGAGATCCAGGAGGGCAATTTAATGTCTTTAACCCCCCCTCCCCCTCTGGTACCCTCAAGCCAAATCCATAACCCCTAAATGAGAGTCTCAATGCACACATGGTGCACAAGGACCACATATCCCTCTCAGGAGTGTGTTTGATGCAGCTGGGACAGGGGTCCGTGCAGCAGAGTCTATTTCTGGAAAAGTCTGTCATCCGTGTCAGTGTTAAGGTGCCATCACGGTGCCTGGGGTCACACACATGTACTTTAGCACCTTTTAAATCAGACGCCTTCTGTGATTGATGAAGTGAACAAGGAGCATTTTAAAGACTCTGTACATAGAGTCACACCTGCGATCCTGCCAACTTAGGTAAGAACATAGGTAAGAGTGTAATACAAAGGCAACGCACAAGATAAAAGACTGCTCTTTCCTGAGCCATTGCACATTTAAGTAAGAGTGACAGGGCTTTGATCCTAGTGTTTAGTTCAGAATACCTCATTCCACGATAATTTGCATAGCTGCATATGTAAAATGCTTTTGCCTCTTAGACATATTAATTCTCAGACTCACAAATGTTTTTGACAATTAGATTGCCTCAAGTGGAGCATTTCCACCTAAATTTGCTTCTCGCCATTCTAAAGTAAAGCTATTAATTTTGTGTTGACGCGTTACCACCACGTAACTTTTTCCTCTTCCTGTTTTCCTTCAGTCATGTAATTGCAGTAGACAATCAGATGCCTGCTTTATTGGTGCATGGTAGAACTGTCACTTCCTGTTGGGTGCAGATAACACGGGAGCTGTCACAACCACTTACTCTGCGCTAATGCGCCCCACGCAGAGCTGATAGTTTCATTGAATCAATCAGGGTCTTCTGTTTTCCCAGCTTCACATCTCTCTTGGCATGCAGCTCTTTATCGTGTTAACAAGACATAATGAACAGTTGGTGAAAACTTTAGGCACTTCAGGGGACATGATGCAAACAAAATGCGAGCGCAGCCTTGCAAAGTCAATGTGTATCTATCTATTCACTGTGGTCTGTAGCTGTGTCAGTGATCATTCAAGTAGAATTCTTGTTACAACACTTAACTTTTGAGAAGTACTAAGATCATTCTGCATCAAAAGAAAGGCATAATCAAAGTGTCCTAGTGCGCCTAGGGTTGCTACTCTTTGCTCTTTCTGAAGTCCCTGGAGCCTTTTGGGAAAGCAATAGGTGGTTTGTTGACCTTGTGGCATGCTGTGAGACAAACCGCAATGGGGAAGCTAATGCCTCAAACCTCTTGAACTTTGACTTCATTAGAAATGCAAGGTGAATGAATTGCCAGAATTCAACTGGAATAAAAGAAGTTCGCCCATGAAGAGCGGATTCCCTTCTAACTTTGCATTGAGGACAAAGGTCCACATTAATTGGAGTGTCCTATACCTCCCGCTGTGGATCTTTGCGACTTCAACTTAAAGCTAAAGCTATGACGACCTCTTGCCACCTGAAACGATGTCTGAAAAATGTGGAAGACTTCAGTTGAAATTTTTTTAAAGACCTCCATTCAGGAACATCTGCTACATGTGGTTTGGTCATCTTTTGTAGACGTGAAAGCGATAAATTTCATCTTGATGAGGGAAGCCTCTTTTAGATTAGCCGCCCAATTAAATCTGGAGACAGAAATAAACAGGCAAACAGAGACTCCACTGTGGATATCTCCATTATCTGGTCACAAGGCCTGTTCTGATGACTGCAAGATTTCTGTCGCTTTTTCAGTTTGCATTTCCACAAACACACATTGCTTTGTTCCGCCACAGTTCTTCTATAGACACACTGAATGTCAGATGAAAATTCTTTGAATTTTGAAAAAAAAAAAAAAAAAAAAAAAAAAATGGATTGTGTCATATAACCAGAAGAAGGGCTTATAAAAAAAATAAAAATGGACACATAGTTCTGTTTTTCCTTGTTCATTTATTGGCACAGGACAACATTCTGTTGACATTAAAGAACACAAACTTGAGCTTGAGAACAGCAGACATTTCATAAAGAAGGCTTACAGGAAAGGAAGTATAATAAAAAGAACAGAGAGATCTTTTTGTCAGCATATGCACAGCAGATAAGTAAACGTGCAAAAACACATCTCCCTTTCATAAGAAGAGGATTTTCAACCATAAAGGCTATGGACAGCTCCAAATCAGATTGGCCACATGTTGTACATTGTATGAAGCACTTGGTTTCCCAAAAGATGTTTTGAGTCACCGGTTTAATGATCAATGAAGCTGCAATGTTCTCAGAAACAAGTCTCCTGGAACTGGGAAAAACAACATAACAAAAAAAAAACATTGTTGTCCTAAACCCTTTTTCAAAATGCTTTCATTTTGTGCATTAAAAGCACAAGCAGACCTTCTATGCTCCACTGTGACACTCGAAAACATTTTAAACATTGAAAACCTTTGATGCAGCCAGTGATATAACACAGAACTGGATTAAGTTGACATGTCTAAAGAATCTATGGACACCGCAGAAGGGGATTTTGGGGAAAATGACACACTGGTTGAGGATGGAGTGAAAAGTACATGAAAATCCGATTACACCAGTGCTGTCTGTGTGGCTACAGCTGGTAGTCAGCCGCTGCCCCAGAGCAACATGCCATCCTGTCAAACCCCAGACTACTGCCCACACCAGGGCTGACACAACGAGAAAGAGATGAACAGCGGAAGAAAATGGGGTGGGTTCAAAAAAAGCATTAGGGACAAGTCGGACATTTCTTTCAATATTATCTTAGTCGAATTGCTGACAACTTATCGGAAAAAGCAAGTAATAAATGTATTTATTTTAAATATTCATGTTATCATTAGAATTAAATGCTGTACCATTAACACCACAGTCACTATTCTCATTGATCATGCTGAGTTACTTTCAATCCACATCAATTTAACGACAATTCACATTCACAAAAACATGACTAGTGGCCAATGAACCAGCTTGCAAAAAACACAAAACAAAACAAAAAAAGACCAGCTTCACTTGTCCTGGCTGTTTGGGTTACCATCGGGATTGTGGAGTAAAATGCAAAGGGACAGCTCTGTGTGTTAGTTGAGCTCTGATATGGTGACCTTAAGGTCTTGCTTATTTGACATCCCACAAGTAGTTATCAAAACTTTCAGTGGTGACCAATCGGGTAAACTCTGTTCCTCAGAACCACCACAGGAGGCAAATGGTGTCGTATGCCTGGATAGTGCTGGATATGATCAAACCACCGGGTGACATTCAGATAATGCTCTTTCTCCAGTATAGCCAATTCCATCTAAGAAAAAGTGAGGACAAACATGAGATGGTGAACATTAAAGGTAAAACTAATGTGTATAACACTACAAAGACATCCAATATAGTGCCTACAAAAAGCTTTCACTAAGCTAGGGTTTGTCGTTTAAGAGTTATATATATATATATATATATATATATATATATATTCAGGCTTTTATACAACTATAAAATGTTCAACAAAAACCTTCCGTAAGTATTCACTCTCTTTAATATGGCACATTATGTGCGTCAATTACACTACCGATCAAACGTTTTGGAGTCTCTTCTATTCACCAAGTCTGGATTTATTTGATTAAATAAAAAAATAACATTCTTGAATATTATGACAATTTAAGTTTTCTATGTGAATATATTTTAAAATGTATTCCTGATCAAATCTGAATTTACAGCATTATTACTCCAGTCTTCAGTGAGGTCAAGTCACATTAATTTATATACTGCTTTTTACAAAATATTGTTTTGATTGCCGAAAAAAGTGTCACAGTCCAGCTTAAGTTCAGTGATGTTTCACTTTTGTTTGAAAAAAAAAATATAATAATAATTTAGTTAATTTATAAATATATAACCGCTCTGGAGTAAACCGTGACGTCATCATCCAGTTCAGTTCAGTTCTTGTATGTATTCACACCAGGAAAGTCCGATAGTTCACTTGCTTTTGTCCGGACCAAATAAAATTATAGTATTATTATTATTTTATTTTTTTTTGGTATGATTCGCTTTCACACTGCTCTTTTTGCAAGTGAACCAAAATTTGTAAAAAAACACACGTGTGCTAAGGTTGTCCATTCATTGGACAAGGATTCTCAAGTAGGGAAATCAGGAAGTGCAAAAAAGGCTCAGCATGGAGATATTTCGTACTGCAATATTTGTTCTTTCACTAATTTTGTGTTATTCTATACAAACACAATATGAAGAAACTAATGAGTATCATATGATACAATGTCATCTATACGATGTTGTAATTCGGGTTTTGAGAAGACGACGATGTGCTGCAAGACGGTTCCGTTGGAGAGACTCTCATGTGCAGCTAACCATGCCACGCTGACAGTGGCACTGCGCAGAAGACAGATAAGGTATAAAGTTTTCATTCATAGAGAGGGGCTATGTTATGCAACTCCGACTACGGAAGCCTGTTAACTCAAAGGCGCAGTGCTTTCTTGCAATTGGGTGGGTTCATGTTCACACCGTAAACGCATCGTACCAGAGTTCGTTTGGAACCGTACCGAGACCACCTCTTCAGCTGGGCCTCGGTTCGGTTGTTTGGTCCGCACCCGAGTTCGATTGCTGTATTCACACCTGCCCAAAAGGTGAGATGGTGCTCACTGCGGAACATGAAATCCACGGGGAGGAGTCGGATCCAGATCCAACTCCTCCCACCTTACATACACCTAAACCTAACCAACTCCACCCCCTGATCTCTAAACCCACCCCTAATCCCTAAACCCAACCCTAATCCTACCCATCTCCACCCCTTGGATCGTGATCCGACTCCTCCCCGTGGATCTCATGTTCTGCATTGAGGTGCTACTGCAAAAGGTCCGCACCAAGGGGGGAAACGAACAAGAGTTCGACTCAATTGAACCAAACAAGGCAGGTGTGAATACAGGCAGATAAATATTATTGTTGAATATCAAAATTAAATGTTAAATTTCAGTGTCACATGATCCTTCAGAAAAAAAATCTAATATGATCTCTAATATGATACAAGAAACATTCATTATTAGCATCAATGTTGAAAACAGTTATGTAAAAATGTTTGTTCATGATTCTTTGATGAATAGAAAGTTCAAAAGAACAGCATTTATTTGAAGTATAATATTTTGTAACATTATAAATGTCTTTACTGTCACTTTTGATCAATTTAATTCAGCCTAGTATTTGAACTTTCTATTCAACAAAGATAAATAAAAATTTGCATGCATTTGTATTCGATTTGACATGACAACAAGTTCCTTTGTTGTTCAATGTTTTACAACAGTAAAGCATGAAATCTACAAAGTGGTTAATACATTTTTTTAGACACTCTACGTCTAACTGACTTTATCTCCAGGCAGTTTAAACTTAGTGACACACTTAAACTTAGTGTCATTGCCTTCTGGGTAATGACAACTCTCTGTCAGTCATTAGTCAGTCAATTATAAGCACTGACATGTGAAGATGTGATATTCTACTCTCTATCTCTCTAATTCTCATTTCATCCCTCTCTTCCTGTCTCAATGGGCTCCTTCAGGCTCCTTAAACTTCCTTGGCTGCTGTCCTGGGAAATGACAGCACTATGCGTCTCATCTTTGTGCTGTGTCAGGTTTCTCCTGTGCTTGAAGCGTCTTACTGTTTTAATTGGAACTCTGCATCACTTCTCTCAAACGACTGAAGTTCACCGCTGAGGGACTTACAACAATGTGGTGAATGCCGTAATACATGAGGATGTCTGCCAGGGTGAAGATGTTCCCAGCCAGGTAAACCTTATCCTCCAGGTATTGGTTAAGTTCCTGCAAGGGAAGTATAAAATGAGGTGACTCTGGGCCTGCTGTGCTGCCAAAAATGATTGGAGCGCTTCTGACCATCATGCACAAGAACAGGAATAAAAAGTGAGATGCATTTAACACCGACAGTCTCAAAGCTTGCTTACAAAGCACACTATACGATACACTAACACATGAAAATTGGTCCACAAATAGTATATTAGGATCACCAACATGTCAGTGTTGTAGTACTCGAGACTCGGACTCGGTCTCGAGACCATATTTTAATGGTCTTGGTCTTGTCATGGACTCGTGTGCATTTGGACTCGGAATTGACTCGTACTCGAACATTTTTTTTTTTAGGACTCGGACTTATTCCCGAGTCCACTCGTGTTCAATTCAAAATATTTTTCATGATTATTAATGTATGTTAATAAAATATTTCTTTAAATTGATTGGTGATTTTCTAGTGCGCAACTGCGCATGACAAATTGTAATAAAATTACTTTTAACACCACCTACTATGTGGCCTTTTTAACCTAAACTGATCATATTTTTTAAACTAAGTAAATCCAGTAAAAAAAAAAAAAGGATTTCTCCAAGTAAATAAAAGTAAATTAGGTAATCAACCCTCACTGGTCTCGGTCTCGACTTGGACTCGATCGTCTCTGGTCTCGGACTCGACTCTCTATGGACTCGGTCTTGACTCGGACTCGACTCTCTCTGGTCTCGGTCTAGACTCGGACTCGAGTGAGGTGGTCTCGACTACAACACTGCAACATGTAAAAGCAATGGTAATATTAAAACACCATTGTTCCATTTACTGTGCCTTGAGAGATTACAGCTGAGATTAACAATTTTCATTTTCGGGTAAACTAACCCTTTAAGAACACCAATTTCTGTGGTAAAAACACTGCACAACCTGTTTGTGGCTTATTGCTTTGAGGGGTTTAAAAGTGACTCATCTGATCTACTTTAAAACTGGATCTATCTGCATTAAAAAATCCAATTGAGAATGGAGGATGACCATCTACAGGCTAGAGGCATTCAAACACTTCAGTGAAGATAAAAGAAATTGTAATATGTATTGTAGTTTTAAGGGTCTCTGATTGACGGAGTTTGTCTGATTGAAGTGTGTGTGCTTGTCTGAGTGTGTGTAAAAGAGTGGCTCATCTGAACACCGTTCACTGCCTCCATTAGCCCTCAAGACGATGTGCTGTATTGTGCACAAGTGCTGAAGATGCTCTTCCTGTCCCCTGAGACCTATACACACACATACCACCCCCGCTGTAGTATTCAGGCTTTGTAAAGTTTCACATCAAACTCACAGTTGCTCTTTCCGAGAAAGAGTCGATGGACAGCCTACAGACACATCTGTGTTACGCTGGACCGTGTTGAGTTATGAGACGTTGGCCTAGGGGTTTATACATTCTCTCTGAAATGAAGCTTAACATTAAACACAGTTCTGCACACAATTGTACAAAGTAATATGCTTGTATTAAAACTAGTGTACTATGGTTTAGAAATTGTCTGGTGCAAAAACAACAACAACAAAAAATCCACTTTTGCATAATTCTTTCATCATTTACTCACCTTCATGTTATTACAAACTCATAGGACATACTTTCATGAATATATTTTTAATAAAAGCAAGTATGGTTGAGTTTACCTTTGAAATGACCTGATGGTGAGTAAATCATGACATAATTATCATTTTTGGTGACCCAACCCTTTAGGGGCCGTTCACATTCTTTATTTAAAATGTAGGAAGTGTAGGAATGTTATTTTCCAGGTGAGCCAGGTCATGTGACTAAAAAAAAAAAAAAAAAAAAAAAAAACTATCAGCTTCGGCCTTTCCATAACAACATCAAAAGCTCGGCTGAACAGCTGTTCATAGCTGTACAATGCTGTAAAGTAAGAATACTTTCAAAAATAGACATGTTAATAGATTATATTTATCAATTAACTAAAAGCAAAGGGAGTGAACAGAAGAAAAATCTAAATAAAATCCATATTTGGTGTGACAACCCTTTGCCTTCAAAACAGCATCAATTCTTCTAGGTACACTTGCACAAAGTCAGGGATTTTGTAGGCATATAGTCAGGTGTATGATTAAACAATTATACCAAACAGGTGCTAATGATCATCAATTCAATACGTAGGTTGAAACACATGCTGCGTCCCAATTCGCTTACTTATACTACGCCCTAAAAGTATGTACTCTTTTTGTATAGAAAAAGTACATACTTTTGAGTGTGTAGCAAAACAGTAGTCAAGCTTTGGGACATACTATCACGTCATCTTTAACGGACAGCTCTGTAGCGTGCTGCGTGCATCCTGTCACCGTAAACTGCCCTGTCAATCATCTTGTCACAGTTAAAATCCTCCATTCTATCTAATTTGACTTATACCGTTTCGGAGCACGTTCATCTGCCAGTCGTGTCTTTCATGCGGAGACTCTACTCGTGTTTGCAATTCGAATATAATGATGCATTTAAAAAGTAATGGCTAAACGTATCTTTACAAAAGTTCACAATGCTTCTGCATATGCAATATAATGTGGACAACATTGAATAAATTAATTTTCGGCAGGTTAGATACTGATAATTAATCACTCAAAGCTCTAATCTAAACCTCTCTATACAGCCGCGGGACAAGTCTGGTCAGAAGTGGCCTTCATGGAAGACTTGGGGCCAAAAAGCCATACCTCCGACGTGGAAACAAGGCCGAAAACACAGGAACTGGGGAGCAGAAAAATGGCAGCAGGTGCTCTGGACTGATGAGTTCAAATTTGAAATATTTGGCTGTAGCAGAAGGCAGTTTGTTCGCCGAAAGGCTGGAGAGCAGTACACGAATGAGTGTCTGCAGGCAACAGCGAAGCATGGAGGAGGTTCCTTGCAAGTTTGGGGCTGCATTTCTGCAAATGCAGTTAGGGATTTGGTCAGAATTAATGGTCTCCTCAATGCTGAGAAGTACAGGCAGATACTCATAATGCAATACCAAAAAAATCTGATTGGCCCCAAATTTATTCTGCAGCATGACAACGACCCCAAACATACAGCGAAAGTCATTAAGAACTATCTTCAGCGTAAAGAAGAACAAGGAGTCCTGGAAGTGATGGTATGGCCCCCACAGAGCCCTGATCTCAACATCATCGAGTCTGTCTGGGATTACATGAAGAGAAAGAAGCAACGGAGGCTGCCTAAATCCACAGAAGAACTGTGGTTAGTTCTCCAAGATGTTTGGGCCAACCTGCCGAGTTCCTTCAAAAACTGTGTGCAAGTGTACCTAGAAGAATTGATGCTGTATTGAAGGCAAAGGGTGGTCACACCAAATATTGATTTGATGTAGATTTTTCTTCTGTTCACTCACTTTGCATTTTGTTAATTGATAAATATAATCTATTAACATGTCTGTTTTTGAAAGGATTCTTACTTTAAAGCATTTTTTCACACGTGCCTAAAACTTTTGCACAGTACTGTGTATATACGTATATATACACACACACACACAACATTTATATTGTTATTTTGTAAGAAATCCCTATTAGGTTACATGGCACCAGATGTGGGCCTACATGCCAATATCTTATACCGTATATGATATGAGTAAAGGCCCACATCAATGTTTTTTTAGGGGGCCCAGAATTTAATAGCAACGGCCTTGATCTTAGGAGGTGGTCTGAGTGTGGTTCGCTTTCAGCCATCAACCACTGAATTGGACTAGATCCAAAGAGTAACAATATGAACACAAATAGGAGACCCCATTACTTCTTAAGAGGACCAAAAAAGGACACGAGTCCTCTTTCAGGGACAGGGACAGTGTGAATGTAAAGATAACAAGATTCTTTTTTCCTTGTTCTTTTTGACCTTCTGGTAAAGTATAAGGGGTCTAAAGTGTGAAATCACCCAACAACACAACAAAAGCCCCTTTCACACAAAGATTCCAGAAAAAACATAGATAATGTGACCCGGCATTTGTCCTGGGATTGTTTGATTTCGGTTCATTCACACTGCCAGTGATTTGCCGGGATCCGTGAGTGCGTTCACACACAACCCGTAAAGATCCCGGAAAGACACATGACGTCAGGATGAGACGTGTAACGTACGCGTCAAAAACATGTACACGACCATACCGTTCCACAAAGCTGGTGAATGATCTCAGCTTCAGCGTGGATAGAGAGGAGCTCCTAGTCTCTGCTTCGTTCCAGTTTGCAGACATTTGTTCATCATTTCTTTGTTGATGACGAACACAAACTTTCTTCTAAGAGCAACAGAGTCGCGCGATGGCACAAGCGTCATCACTATGACACACCCCTTACGGCATTGGTCCTGGTTTTTGTTCACACAGAACGCGTTCCGGGACTGATTCCGGCAATGTTACTAGGTCCCCAACCTGACATCGATGCCGGTATCAATCCCGGGTCGGGTTTGCGTTCACACAGAAGGCGTTCTGGCAATTTCCTTGGATCAATGCGCTATGTTAAAGGGGCTGCCAAAGGACTGCCAGATAGCCTTTCTTCTTGTACTTGACAAAATTATATAAGAATGGGGGCGAGTATTATAGATTCAGATATGTCTCAAGTAAACATAAACAGTTCCAAAATAAAACGCATAAGTAACACTGTATTCGATCCAGGCATTAGATCTTATTAGGTGCCTCGGTGCCCCATTATGCTTTTTTTAATATTACCTTTCATGCAATGTGTAATGTAGCTGTCTGTGAATGTAAACAATCTGCAAAGTTTTTAAGCTAAAAGTTCTTGCCTCTCTCTTTAAAGGGACTCTGTGTAGATTTTTAGGTATTTTATTATCTGAAATCAATATTTTTATTCATAAATATGTCCTCAATGGTGTACAAATACCTCTGCAAATTATCTGACTTATCCTCGTAAATGAAGAATTTATTATCTTTATGTACATGGGACGGGTAGGTTCACGGAGGCTTCCATGTCCGTTCCGCCATCTTGAAAACTATAATAGCAGAGAGGGTCAAAAAGTACCACCAGCCAAACGCGTTTCCACAAC